TAAAAAAACCCATATCAAGATCCGTTGCGTAGTTTTAAAGATCTAAGCATACATAGGGACAGAAATACAGCGGGTCGATCGGTTTTACACTATGAAGCATAATAAGTATTCTTAAATTTACTAATTTTCCGCGCAATTTTTTAATTTTTTTCTCTTGAATCACTCGTATCTAGTAAAAAAACCCATATCAAGATCCGTTGCGTAGTTTTAAAGATCTAAGCATACATAGGGACAGAAATACAGCGGGTCGATCGGTTTTACACTATGAAGCATAATAAGTATTCTTAAATTTACTAATTTTCCGCGCAATTTTTTAATTTTTTTCTCTTGAATCACTCGTATCTAGTAAAAAAACCCATATCAAGATCCGTTGCGTAGTTTTAAAGATCTAAGCATACATAGGGACAGAAATACAGCGGGTCGATCGGTTTTACACTATGAAGCATAATAAGTATTCTTAAATTTACTAATTTTCCGCGCAATTTTTTAATTTTTTTCTCTTGAATCACTCGTATCTAGTAAAAAACCCGCATCAAGATCCGTTGCGTAGTTTTTTAAAGATCTAAGCATACATAGGGACAGAAATACAGCGGGTCGATCGGTTTTACACTATGAAGCATAATAAGTATTCTTAAATTTACTAATTTTCCGCGCAATTTTTTAATTTTTTTCTCTTGAATCACTCGTATCTAGTAAAAAAACCCATATCAAGATCCGTTGCGTAGTTTTAAAGATCTAAGCATACATAGGGACAGAAAGACAGCGGGACGATCTGTTTTATACTATGAAGCATAATAAGTATTCTTAAATGTTCTAATTTTCCGCGCAATTTTTTAAATTTTTTTCTTTCATAAGAACCGTCTCCTGATAATAACAAACACAACAAAAAAGAAGTGAAATCGGTCCAGCCGTTCACGCGTGATGGCGTGACCAAGGGAAATAGGGATTCATTTTTATATAGGTACCTATATAAGATAAGGAATTAAAATAAGGAATGCGACATTTTCATTATGGGAAATGTGAAAGGTGCTAGTTATTAATTGTAGAACTAAACACGTGTCGTGTACCATGTGTAAACATATTGATTACATTCTCTCTGTCGTGTACTTGCTATTGTTGGCTTGTACGACATACTGGTGTGATTTTTTTTTGGACACATTTTTACACAACGTTCTCTAGTCCCAAACTAAACAACGCTTGTATTATGGGTACTAGATAACTGATAAACATAGGTACTTAAACATACTTTTCTTTTGTAAATAAATACACATTATACATATATAAACACCCAGACACTAGAAAAACACTATGTTCATCACACAATATTTTTCCAGTAGTGGGGATCGAACCCACACCCTCTGGCTCAGGAGGCAGGTACACTACCCACTACGCCATTTGGGTTGTCATTTTTTTCAATTGCTCTTTTAGAGATACTAATGGTGGGGGATTTTAAATAAATTTGATTTAATATAATATTTAATTTGAATACAAAATAAAATGAAAAAAAAGAAAATAGCGATTATGCTATGTTTTTTGTTGTTACATAGCTCTCCCTTTAGTCCGTCTCGGTATAGGGGCCCATTCACAATCCTGCCTGGCAGTCCGCTGTGCAGGACTGCGAAGCAGGATGTAGCCCACACACTATCCTGCAAGTCGTCCATCGTCAGTAGTCAGTACTGTTTCGTTTCTCAATAGTGTCAGTGTTGTTGTTGTTATAATTATTGATTTACGTGCCGTTTCGAAAAAAAGAACAATTCTGCTGTTCTTTTTTGTTGTTAGATATGTTTTTATTAATACTTTTATTACCTTTCCTCAAATTATCATATAAATATACATAAAATTTAGGTAATAACCTAAGCCTTTCTCAAGTTAAACTATTTCAATGTAAAGTTGTTTTTAGCTTAGTTTAAGTTATCACATCTGTCGGGCGTCCCGGGATGCATACGTTTTTTTTTTTGTTTAAAATAAAGTACCTAGTCCTGTGTAGACTTTTTTAAAATTTAATTCCAAAATATATTTCCAATAACTTACCTCTTAAATAATTTCTATCGTAAATATTTACTGTCTAAATTCCTAAGTTAGCATCCGTATTTTCGTATGATATAGCGCAATTTTGATAAGGGCTTAGTGCATCTTTTTTTCTTCATATGGCAGCACTGCCGCTACACAGGATGGCCAAACCACTGACTGGTGGGCGGAGCTTGCAGGTCCCTTGCAGGATGCAAGGCGCGTCCTGCTGCCAGAAACTGTGCAGGCCTGCAACACTATTCACGATCCTGCATAAAGCGGCGGACTGCACGGCGGACTGCCAGGCCCCTTATTTCCGATATGTGACTCATATAGGCATATAAAGGCGCGAGGATAGTCGTTACTATTTACAAGCAGTCATATAATGGTTTTTCTATCTATCTGCTGAGCAAGGGGTCTTTTCGTAGCATCCTGCTACGCTTGCCTCGAGCATGGAGAACGGAGAATGGATTTTCCAAGAGGATGATTCTCCAAACCATTGGTGTTGGTACCCAACTTAGGTAGTTTCTTTTTAAAAACCGCTACTATGATATCCAGGGGGAAAAGCTTAATAAATATTTTACGCCGATCTTCTGTGAGTTCGTGGAAATTCCCCAGCTTGAGCCCATTCAGCATCATCGCAAGATGATGCGTGGCTCTTACACTGTGTACTATAGTTTGAAATGCAGTAAGCTAGGGATATGTTAGCTCTTCGGCCAAAATATTTTTTTGCGAGCTGCACAACTCTACAATTAAGCTGTCAAAGCCGATGGTGTAACATAAAACTACATAAACAAATCGAAAAAGTATTCATCTGTCATATCATTTCAAGCGAAACATTTTGGCAACCCTTACGTAATTTACGTAAGGGTTACCAAAATGTTAAGGTAAGTTTATAATTCTTACGTAATTTACTATTCTTACGTAAGTTTTTGAAGCATATGACAGCAAAGAGAATGTAATCACTACGTGTATGACAGGGGGAAGAAATATATTGATATATCGATATTTATAAAAATATCAATATCGGTTACGATATATCAATATTGGATAATCGGATATAATCGGATCAAATTTTCGGTCTGATTCGATAATAGGTAATAACAATTTTTATACCAATTTCACATTATTTTAATATATGAGAACAAAATCATTAATTATAATCAAATTTCTTGTATTAATCTAATTTTCTAGGTATATTATTAACCAAGATCTTCATTAGAAAAAAACAAACAGCTATGTAGTTAAATAAAACAAATCTTTAACCCTGAAACGAATCAAAAATGTAACTTATAAAAACATGTGACTTTTTAAAAAACATAAAGAATTGTTTAAAACGAAGTAATTAATGGGTTTAAAAGGAACCCAGAGACTTGTACTGAATGATACATCTAGATCAACAATATTTAATAATATGTAGTTGTTTGATTGACATGAAAATGCTGAACGACAATTTAAAAAGTTACTTGTGGTTCAATGTTATTAATTTGACTTGACCGTTATTCGAAGCTTATTTAATTGAGATAGGCACTATATTTCCCACCTGAAACATCTCGTAACTTCCGGTATTTTAGTTCCTTCTTGGTTATGACGTCACATCCGCTTGGCTGAATTAGAGTTTACGACTGCAGCACTATGTTGCTTAAACTTCATTGGCGTCATGTTTCCCAACAAGTTCGGACGCTCACAAGACGAGTTACATACTTCAATTTAATATTATAAAATAATATTACATTAGACTAATTAAGTATTATTTTCAAAAACCATGGATAATTGAAATAAAATCACGGAAACCAGTGATAGTGCGATACCTGGGCCTTCAACAAATAGAAGGCTGAACCGATCATGTAGAAGTTCAAGCTCTAGTAGCAGCTCTTCGAGCGATAGTTCTTCAACCAACTCAAGTCCTTCAAAACGAGGTCATAGAAAGAAAAGGGGGGGCAAAAGAAGTCATCGCTCGAGTCGTGGGATACGCAAATTAGCCAAGGAGTTGCGTAACCTACAGAAACAATTTGAACGCAGAAACAATGGATGTTTCGCTAGTTCTTGCCCGGATAACGATGCTTCGTCAATACTATCGGGGGTAAGTGAAAATCTTTATGAACAATTACCTAATACTGAGTCTGTTACAACTCAATGTGATAAAAATATCACAATATCTTTTGGAACAAAGGTTAAAGAGCCTACAATTCCAAAAACCCCGGACGTGTTCCTTAAATTGTTATGCGAAGCGCAACATTTTGGTGAAAGTGACTGGAATGAAATTAGGTACGCTGAGGCACAAAAGATATATAACCATTCCCCAGGGTTTACAGCCATAGAAATGAATGAAGAAGTCAAAGCATATGACTCTTTACGTCACCTAATACATGCGGATAAAACTTTTGCAGCTCTGACGATGTGTGTGCTTAAACAAAAAGAGTATTTACAAAACACTCTAAGAGAGCTTTTACTGTGGGTTAGAGATGGGAACTGCGGTAGTTACGAAGGTTTCTATAAAAAAATTATGGATTTATTTTCAAGCGGTGATTTCCAGAAAAGCTCCGAAGATATGTTACAGATGATCTGTGGACATTGTGCGGAGATACATCAAATGCGAAGGGATTGTTTAACAAAGCAGGCTAAGGATCCACTTTTCAAAGCGAATATAAAGAAGATTCCTCCAACAGCTATATATCTATTTGATCCAGAAAAAATCACGTCAGCTATTGAAAAAGCTGGCGGGGTGAGAAAATGTTTTTGGCCTGCACAAAGGGGTTTTACCTCGCAGGTGGACACAAAAAAGCCCAAAAGCTCCTCGCAGGGGTTTACTAATCGCACCAGACCCTCGCAGGGTTATCCGCAGTCTTGTGCACATTCATACTGCACTAATAATAACCTACCTTCGCAAGGTAGTTATATCAATGGTAACAATAATAGTCGTTATGCTTTACAATATGATTCGGCCGCACCGAATAATAACCATAATTTTCATGGAAATAATTCACGGACCAATGCGCAACAGCAAGGACATACCAAACAGGGGAAAAAGCGCACAACCTCTCCCCATCAACAAGATAAAAGCAACAAACGACGTAAGTTCTGACTTGCGGCCATTTACAGCAGGCCGTCTTGCTAAATTTCAAGACCATTGGAAAACCTTACAAGCTCCGGATTTTATACTATAAAAAAAAATTATAACAGGGTATCGCATACCCTTTTACCGGAAGCCACCACAGCCATTGTATCCAATTTACTTGTAACAAAGTCCGCAAAAATGACATCGATTATAAACGAAATGAAGGAACAGGGAATTCTGCAGGCGGCAAGAATGGCACCAAGCTTTCTGTCATCAATGTTCCTTGTCCCAAAATGCGATGGCTCTTACCGACCGATCTTCAACTTGAAGGCATTAAACGCGTACGTAAAAATCGGCCATTTCAAATTAACAAATGCTCACCGCATAACAGATTTTTTGCAACCAAAGAATTGGCTTTGCAAAATCGACCTGTCACAAGCTTATTTTCATATTCCTGTAGCTCGCAGCCACAGAAAGTTCTTGCGGCTAATATATCGGAAGGAACTGCTGGAAATGACATGTCTACCTTTCGGTTTAAGCTCTGCACGAACTGGATAGCACAAATACTCAGAGAGTAGGATATAAGGATAGTGGTATATCTCGACGACTTTCTAATTGCAAATCAAAGCGAAGAGCTTCTCCAAAATCATGTAACCATTGTTATCGAGACTCTCTCCGGTAAGGAACATTACCTTTCTTGGGATTCACTGGGATCACTGGTCAAACCTGAAATGTCTGCCGAAAGACAAAATCTTAATACTTGCACAAAAAGTTGGTCAGATGCTACGAAAACGACATACGACGCTGAAAGAGTTGCAAAGTCTGGTAGGCTTTCTCAATTTTGCCAGCTTTACTGTTCCCAAAGGCAAACTAAACTATCGAGGCCTCTTAAACCTTCTCAATCAAATTCTAAATTCGAACCCCAAAAAATTGCATATGATACCTCACACATTGCGTGGGGAGCTCGCTTGGACAATCTGTCGTTGACCGGACTTTGGTCAAATACCGAAAAGAACCTCCATTGCAATCAGAAAGAAATGTTGGCGCTATTAAAAGTTTTAAAAGATCATTCTCAGCTCCTGAAACACAGCACTATACTGATTCAGAGCGACAACAAATCCGTAATTTCCTATTTCCGTTGCGAGGAAGGAACCAAATCGCCTGCACTCTTAGACTTGATATATCAGGTGTACCAGATTCTCGACAAATGTATTATATTCCGGGAATATACAACTACCATGCCGATCACCTCTCGAGGTTACGTGCAACGCCGGAATGGCACCTGTCCCCGGAATGCACAAACAAGATTTTCACCAAATGGGGAATGCCGGTTGCGTCCAGCCGAGTACATGTGGTAAGCAACTATGTATCTCTAGATCTAACAGACAATCAAGCCCTGTTCCACGATGCCTTCTCCTAAATTTGGAGGTACCGTCTAGCTTGGATCTTTCCTCCCCCGTTCTTAATTTCGAAGGTTCTAAGCCACCTCAATCAAGCACAAGGGATATACTTGATAGTAGTACCACGTTGGAATCAAGTCTTCTGGCGCCCGGACATCAAAATGCGTGCCCTAGCCCCACCGTTCACACTACACCACCTAGACAAAGTCCTGATCGACACTGCAACGGGACACCATCCTCCGAATGTCAAAGATATGACTCTAGAAGTGTGGAAATGTGGAATGACAGTCAATTAAAACTTCTCGAAAAATCCTGGCGTCCTTCAACACGAAAAGTTTACAATGCTGCATGAAAACGGTGGCTTACCTGGTGTAATATACATCAAATTAATTATTCTGTGCCTAAAGTAAGTGATTTAGCAAGACTTTTATCTGATCTTTATTTAATTCAAAAAATTATCACACAGCTCCATTTTGTTGCACAAATCGGTAGTTTCGAATCTATGCTACAACAAAGTTCTCACGTTTTAGTGAAGCAAATTTTAAAATAGATAGCTCTAGACAAGCCGGTTAGCCATGCAAAATCTTCTGTATGGAATATAGACGACCTTGTAGCTCATCTTAAGACAAAATGCATTGATAAAAACAACTGTTTTCAAGTTCAAAGACATACTGCCGCTTTGTCATTACTTTGCTCGGGAAGAAGAATACATGATTTGACTTTACTTACAGTTGATGCAAATAACTGCGTTATAAAAGAGAACGAGATCATTTTTTGGCCTAAATTCGGATCAAAAACTGATTCCGCTGAATACCGGCAGTCTGGCTGGAAATTGATAGTTAACCATGATAACGAAAACCTGATCCCAGTTTTTTGTAAAAACCAAACAATAGTCATTGTGAACGAGCGTAGAGTGGCCGCCCGTTCTAGTTATTTGTTTATGAATATTAGAAACCAACCGCGTCCAGCGTCAAGAACTATCATTGCTGGTTGGATTAAATCATTGCTTACGGAAGCCAAGATAAAGGTCACGCCGGGAAGCTTTAGGTCTGCAGTTGCATCAAAGAATTGGCTGGATAATGTTCCCGTTGAAGATGATATGATTTAAAGATCTTACCAGAGCCTGATATGATTTAAAGATCTTACCAGAGTCTTTCTCGGTCTTACAGAGATCTTTAAATTGTAGAGAGCAGGCAGTTACGAAAGAATATACTAACACACTTTTATAATGTAGAATTTATTATGCGGATGTTTTAGAATTTTTATCGAAATCACAGTTTTTTTCTATTTTATTTTTACTTCACGAACTGTCCGATTTGTTTTTCATAAGTCAAGACACTTATCGTCACTATGTCTATGTTTTCTTTTTTTGTTAATGAGTTTCTATATGTATTAACTCCAACAGAGGAGATAATCACCAAAGGCAATTGGCGTTCTCAAAATTCCTTTTCTAAATTCTATAAGCGAGAAGTAAGGCCTCCGACTAATCATTCCTCTGTAACTTCTTTTTTTTTATCCAATTACTTGAGAGTAAAACTGATTTATATTTTTTGTTTGAAATATAATTTTAATTTTTTTCTAATAAATTTTTACTATTTTGGGTTCCTTTTATTCTAAATGGACATTCTAAAGATTCACATTGGCGTCCTATATCATATCCACCAGGCGATAACAAACATATCTCAATTAAATAAGGTAAGTAAATTAATAAGCGTTTTATTGGTAGGTAAAATGCCTCTAATAAATTTTATGACGTCAAATAATTTTTTTTTCAAAACTTGGAAATTATTACATTATAAATAAGGCATTTAATTATTGAGAATTTGATTATAATTTAATTTTTTTAACTTTATTTAAAAAGTAAAGTAACTTTATTTGGTACCATTATTATTTCCATTTATAAAGAAGCCATGTAGTTCAATTAATGATTTGTAACTCTACACCATGTTGTACCTTAGATATGGATAGTATAAAGTACGAGTATAAACGTTGGCCACGCAGCAGCCTCGGCTGTTGCACGAATGGGCAGGCTCGTCCGGGTAAGTACCACGACCTCACAGAAGACTGGCGTAATGTGGAAGTATAATACTTTCGCGTTTCGTCTGGTGAGTGAGGTAGCCGGAGCCACATTTTCAAAAGGTTGTCAACGCATCTGCAAGCCCTCGGGTGTAGGAGATGTCCATGGGCAGTGGCAATGCTCGATTGGCAACTTTTCCCATAAAAAAAATAAAAAAAGTTAAGTAAGAGCCTATACATCTCCCACTGCTGGGCAAAAGCCTCCTCTATACAGAGAGTATCAGGGCATAGTTCACCACGCGGCCCCACTGCGGATTGGCGGACTTAACATATCTTCGAAATATTTTTTTGTTATTATTTCGAAAATATGCAGGTTTCCTCACGATGTTTTCCTTCACCGCGGAGCCCGTGATAAGTCAGCACTTAAAGTTAAAAACTTCATTGATGCCGGCACCGGGATCGAACTCAGGTTGCTCGAGTATATTGAATTAAAGGCGAGCGACCGGACACTGAGCTATCACGGCTCTTATAAAATCATATAAAAAAACGAAGCATGAAATTGTATTATAATTACAATAATAATTTATTGTACAAAGTCCAACACTCCATTCGCCACAATACTAGTCATAGAGAACAGTATTTTTTTCTCTTTCATTTTCAAAATTTTACGGCTTTGATTCTGTTGTGGTTCATCTGAACTAAATTTGAATAAAAATATGGTTTTTGATACGATTTCGATATTCAATTTTTTTTATCGGTATATCAGACCAAATATATCGCTAAAACATCGATGTATAATAAAAATATCGATTATCGATATATTGTGACAGCCCTAGTCTAGCATATGTATGCATATCATCTTAGTAGTCTGTGCATATGTCAAAACTCAAAAGTCTGCTCTGTGCATCATAAAATTTAAAAGTTAGTTCGAACGGTCAAAGAAGTTTATTTAATTTCAATTATATTTTAAATACAATTAAGTATATAAATCAACATATTACTCGAAGCTCGTATATATACGGACAGTTAAGATAAGGCAAAAGGTAAATTAAATAGAAAATATTTAATTTAGTTTTAGTTTTTGGATTTTCTATAATATTGAACTATATGTTTTTCAGATGCAGTCAGTATATTTATTTAACCGTAATGACAATGAAGTGCTACAAGAGTTATTGCGAGTGTTTAGTTCCGGCCGCGGTACTGCCCGTGAACAGTGGACTTTGCAGGCGGAATTATTGGTCGAGCCAGTAGGTTGGGATGCATTGTGGAAGTTGTCTAAAGAATTTTGCAAAAAGTTTGGTATGTAAATGTTTTATTCCCGTTTATAAAGAATTTGCTTGTTTGAATTCAATGATTGGAATAAATTGTTTAAAATTATTGGGCTTGTCATGAGATCAAATTAATATCACCTTTTTAGAGCACACTGCAGATCATTTTGTGGCCACATTCTAATCTGTGTAGTTGTTTACACCAGGGCATGTGCTTGTTTCATTTAAAAATATTTTTCAGTGTCCAATGAAACGGAAATATGAAGTAAAGGAAACATTTAGATTTTGAAAAAAAAAAATAGTTAATTGAATCTTGCAGTTTTAAACTAAGCAAATCAGCCATTATTTTGTGTACAAATTAAATTTTGTAAGTAATATTAAGTGGAACCTTAAGTCTATACTTTGTTAAATGGTAAACACCATGCCATCACAAAAACTTATTTCGTTGGGCTTCTTGATTTACAAAAACTGTGAACTTTACCTAACCAATTAATTTGAGATAATAAAATTTTTAATCCAGCTAGTGCATTTACAATCTAATTACATGTTACTAACCATCAGAGACTGTAGCTAAGTACTAGTTGGTTTTTGGGTTATAAAAAAAAATAAAAGCCTTGTTCAATGGTCATGTTTCTCTATTGATATATATAGTGTGTCGTTACAACCGCAACAATAAGTGAACACAAGTCTAACGCTACTTGCCAATAATGATAAAAAAATCTAAAACATTAAAAAAATCCATAATAAAAAAAAAAAATATTTTTCAAACAAACTAATTAAATAAAAAAGAAACAAAATTTGTAACATCCTATACAACTACAACTGACTGATTCATACATTCAGGGACTTTTTCACTCACACACCCTCGCACTGCCACAATGTCGCATTAAGTCTCTCCTTGTAACAGTATGTTTTATCTCTTTTAAATTCATTCAACCTATTCATATGCTTTGTGACCTTTACAAATGAACTTTACGTTATAGTTTTATACGTGAGGGTGTTCTAAAAATGTTTGTTTCGTAAAATTTAATAACTCTGTAAATATTGATGTTTAAAGAATTTAAATGCTTAATACAAGTTTCAAAAGTTATCATCTATTTGTGTGTTCATTCATTGTCGCAGTTATAACGACACACTGTATACTTATATATACTTTAATATTTTTAAAATTAATATAAAATTTTTAATGTAAAATTATTTTTAATATTTGTGTAATAATGATTTTACCCTTAATGTAAACAATTATATTATCTGTTGAGCTGATTTGCTTAGAAGTAAAGTTTTTTTTAATGTTATTTTTCAGATGTAAGATTCCCTTGTATTGCTTATGTTACTGTTACATCTGTGGATTTTGAAGAGCTTACAGCTTCTGTAGATGTGTTAAGAGTTCAACATGAGGCAGTGACTTTACCAGAAACAGTTGTTGATGTACCTCTGATAGAACTGTGGCCTACTATTGAGCAGAGAGAACAGTGTGTTAATGCCGCTACAACTGCTGATTTTATTGATCTATTAAGGTATATTCCGTTAATTTTCAGCAAGACATAAGTTGCCAAAAGGCTTTAGAAAGTTATACAAACCTTTTACTTTAGGATTCTGCATATCATATAAAAGTATGGTATGACAGTATGACCCATTTTATCTTAATAATGTGCCCCAGAACGTAAATATTTGATATAAGTTAAATAAATGTTAAATACAAAAAAAATTAGAGGTGATGCAGTTATATACACCATCAGAATTTTCTTTATTTTCTAAACAGTTTAAATAGAAGGAATAGGTGTTAGCTGTGTAAAATTCCTATAAATATTTATTATTGTTAGTAATATTGCTGAAGTATACAACAGTCAAGAAATACATTGTTTTAATTGTGGTTACATTTTAGATTCTTTTATCACAACATATGGATGCCATGGGATGATCAAGATGATAAAGTTCTACTTTCAAATACCATTGAAGATAGGATGAACCTTTGGTCTGATATCCATAATGGTACAATACCACATTACATTGCTAGATCCATAACATTGTTACGGAATAGTGCCATTAATGCTCATGAAAAACTAAAAGAGCTAGATTCTTCTCTTTGTGATGGAATTTTAGCCGACGATGATGGTAAATTTCACATATAAGTTTTTATATCTTGAATATATAGAAAATACTAGCTTTTCGCCTTTAATAAATGTCTTTCAACCCTTAACAAAACTTTTCCAATTAAAAACTAGCATATGTCCTTTCTGCCCGTGGGGTGTCCGGGAAAGAATAGCACCCACCCATTTCATCCCGAGGGTGTCGTAGGAGGTGACTAAGGGAAAAATCTGGAAGTTGGGCAGCAGCGGCTTCCGTGTACATAACATGAATAACTGCGATCCCCAAGACGCCTGCCAAGCGTGGGGATTAAGGCACCCCCCCCCCCCCCCCCCCCCCCCCCCCCCCCCCCATGACAGACACACTTTCTGCATGGCCCCCAGTCCCCGGCAGCTCCACTATTCCTGCCTTTGGTAGCAGGCAAGGTAACGGTGGAGCAGTTGGTGCTAAGAATCTCCGGCAGATGCCACGCTACCACCCCAAACAGACCTTGGCCCTGGCAACACACAATGTCCGCACGCTCAGGACTGACGAGAAGATTATCGAGCTGGAGGAGGAATTCAGCAACTTGCGATGGGACATACTGGGACTATCAGAAGTCCGACGAGAGGGGCAGGATACGATAGTTCTGGATTCCGGCAACATGCTCTTCTTCCGGGAAGGAGATGGATACGGATATGGGCAGCGGAACCAGAGGGGTCAGAATCTGGTCGATTTTATGTAGGAGGGACTCTACTTGATGAACTCCTACCAGAAGCGTCCGTCCAGAAAGTGGACTTG